TTGTATTTTCAAAGTGTTGTTTAGTTGTACTTAGTTCATGGAGTATGTTATTCTATTCTGAGTTCGGTGCAAATATTCAATAGTTACTATCATGAATCGAATTGATCCCAGTGTATATATTTTACTTTAATTGATTAGTAACGTTAATAGTGAAACAGTAACTTAACTAATAACCTAAATGAATGTCAAATGATATTCAAGTTAAAATAAAATGGAATTCATGTAAACTATTAAATACCAGTTCAGTGATTCTGTTGTGTACGAGAACACAGATGAGGACGAACAATTCCATTTTTTATACGACACTATAGAGTATCTTGGTAAAATATGAGAAACATACACTGAATACTTTATTTGATAATTTCCATCATTTGTATTTCATATTCTGTATGATTCTTTCGATTCACAATTTCTTTCTAATTCCGCTTCTGTTTTCTTCAAGTCGACATTCATAGACACCTTATGCCAGGTTTTTCACTTCCTATTCGTGTTACATACTACTTATATCGACAGACATAAGCAGCATACAACATAATTTAACGTTCTCGATAAATCAAGGTTATCATAGATCAATCCCATTTGAAATTATTCATTAGCACTGAGCTCACACACACAAATATCTGTACACTTTCGAATTTCTTCCATAACTACATTTCTATCCTATAGTTTTAGAATTAGCCTTTCACCTAAGAAATTTCATCAGTCTGGTATTTATACATATCAGAAGGGGTTTTGTGGGGATTGTGGGACTCCTCAGTAGTGCGCATCCACACCCCCACCTCGCGGGATTCGAACCCGGGACCTATCAGTCTCGCGCCAGGCGATTAAACAACCAGACCACTGAGACGGTTTACATATAACTATTGATATATAAAACAAGCAAAATATTTTGTTTTAATTGATGACCCAGTAATTACGTAACATTTGATAAAGAAAAATTCGTAATTGACTCATTTTCATCAAAAATAAAAATAATTACGGTTCATTAACTGAATTAATTTGTTATAGTTTAATAATTGTTAACAATGTATATTAACAGAAGGGGTTTTGTGGAGGTTCAGATCATGAGTCAATTGAAACTAGACCACCATGGAAAACCTAAAAACTTTGAACGGCCGTTTCGTCCTAGTATGGGACTCCTCAGCAGTGCGTATCCACAGTGGGCTAGCTTCAATTAACTCATGATTTCAACCAGTGAAATTTGTAAAATCTCCGCAAAACCCCTTTTGATAATAATCATCTGCTCACTAGTGACTGACTTCAAGATATACTTCTGTAGTTCTAGTGACCAGCCGTTACCCGTGGAGTTCAACCAGGTTGGTTGTGAGATATCAACTCACAGAAGACAGTGGTGTACGGTGGTGCAAATTCGTGGATTGGTTGAAGCTAGACATTTTCACCGTTGGATGCCAGCTGGCTCAGTGATTTAATGATTAAGTGCTCGCGAGTGAAACCAGTAGGTCATGTGTTCGAATCTCGCAGGGGGCGAGGTCGTGGATGCGCATTGCTGAGGAGTCCTATACCAGGACGAAACGGCCGTCCATTGCTTCCAGGTTTTCCATGGTGGTCTAACAATGTGTACTGTTTTTTTATTCGAATGTTATTATGGTTGAAATGACAAGAAATCTAAGAAACACTTCTTTAATGAACTAAGACAAGTATTTTGTATTTACAGATATACCAAAACAAGATTGATATTCGTAATTTGTAGTATATAAGGTATTGAAGAGTAGTTTATAACATGTAATATGTGAATAGAATGATAAAGAGAATTCTTTATTGATTTATATAAGTGTTTTTTTACATGATACTCTATACCCTATTCAAATGTTAAAATATTTAATTTCAGTTCCGCATATCATCATCATCATCACCCGAAATATCTACTTTAATCAATAGTTTCCATGGCCGTTTCAGTTAGAAATCATAAACCCTGAGATGAGAATGGAAACTATTGATTGAAATACGTATTTTTGATGATTTCTAATTAAATATGTGATAATTCATCGGAATTCTAAACTCAATGAGAGATATATAATTCATTACTTATATTACCTTGAAGTTAATGATTACAAAGAGAAGTCTGGTAATGTGTGATACACCCGGTTATTGATATATATAATTTCCTAAATACTCAATCATATATGTTTACAGAATCCACATAACGCCATGTCATTAACATTAAATCTATTGAGTTAAGTGGGAACGATTGATTGAATAAAATATATTCTCACTTGTTTTCAATTCATTTGTTAATAGAGTACTTCAAATGATAATTATTATTGAGGTCAGTTAATTTGTCAACGTATATATTAACAAATATATATTGTGAAACATAGTTTAGTTTGTATAATTGATTGATCATTGGGTGGTGATCAGTGTCATGTATATTAGGTCCTTCTTAGTACAGATCAAATCTTATCGATCAACTAAAATCTTATCTTAATATAGTGAAGGCAAGTTAAAATCACCTAGACTGGTGATCACATTGCAACTTGGTCAATAGGATTCAATCTTCACTGAAAAGAGCCTGACACTCATGACATTGATTATCACACAGTAATCAGTCAATTGTAAATAAATCTCAACCCTAAAGAAGGTTAGTCACAACTCGGATAGCTCAGTGGTAATGTCTCTGATTGTGAAACTGGGTGACATGTTAGTAAATCCGTCGGGGATTATCAGTCCCCTCAAGATTACAGGTACACCTTGCTAACGAATGCCAAGTATCATGAAACCTAGGTTCAAGGATTTCTATCGAAACATCATCTTAGTTTAGTTTATTATTGTCTGTTTCTGTTGTCATTTGAAATCACATTATTCATTTAAGAGATCTTTTCACTTCAATGTTATTCTGATTACTTGTAAATGAAATAATTTTTAACAGGATACTTACTAGAAAAATGTAATGAAATCTAAATAACTTCAACATTTCCCTCAATAAGCTTATTTAAACTTCTTGACGATAATAGTCAAAACTAGTATATATCAGAAGGGGATTTTGTGTATATTGTAATAATTTCAATAGTTGAGATCATGAGTCCATTGAAACTAGACCACCACGGAAAACGTGGAAGCACTAAAGAGCCGTCTCGTCCTATTGTGGGACTCCTTGCGCGCAAAATTGATAGGTCCTAGTTTCGAGTCTCGCGAGACGCACTGCTGAGGAGTTCCACGCTAGAACGAATCGACCATCCAGTGCTTCCAGGTTTTCATGAGCTGTCTAGCTTCAATTGACTCATTATCTTAACTATTGTAATAAATATTACATAGAAGAATCTCAAATAACCTTATTCAGCGTAATGTGGGAATTAACTTTATTTTATTCAATGAGACTACTTTTTAATATACATTTTATATATCAGTTTATCCAAATGTTCTTCAAACCTTAGTTAAGTAGAGCAAAATAGAGCGAGAAAGAACAACATTTCATGTATCACATTAAGGAACACCTTTTTGGTATTTCCTCAAGTTTAAATAATAATAATACTGAGAGGAAGATAGATTCATATTTAATGAAATGTATTCAGTAAGAAAAAATATTGGATAGTAATTCAGTAGTCGGAAAGTGATGCATTTGGGACAAAGGTTAATTTCTTGGATTTAATCCCTAGTGGAATTGTAAATGCGTAATACTAAGGAGTTTCATATTAAAGTGAAAAAATCTATCAAACACTTCGTGATTTTCAGTAGTTATCTGACTAATGTTAGGACATGATACAAAACTCTCAAAATATATGTCGAAAGGTCGATACTATCATCCTTTATGAACAATCATCGTTCGAAAATGAACCATAATACAATCTTTGAAACTTGTGATCAGAATGTATTTAAGACGGAACTCTGAAGGGTAACAAATAAAGAGAGGAACCAAAGAACATACTGAGTTTTAATTTGGAAGCAGGCATGAAAAGGATGAATAATAACTGGAAACAACTGGAAAGGTTCGTACAGGATAGAGGTCAGTGGAAAGTGTTTTTGGGTGGCCTGTGCTTCTCCAAGAGGGTAACAGGCGTAAGGAAGTAAATGATGTATGACGGATAGCTTACATTCAATTTATAGAAAACAAAATTGCAATGTGGATTATTAGTTCAATATCTGAATATCTTGTAATGAACATATTAAATAGCATAATATTGAATTTATGGATAATATCTTAAATTCACTTAACTTATATTATGATCTATTGTGATGAATGGGAGAATATTCTTACGTCGTAAAGCGTGGTTAATCTCTACAGTTTTACAGGATGTCTAAGAACAAAACAACATTATCATAAGCATAACACTCTACTTAAATAATACTGGTAATTAAGAATTATAACCATTTTTAGATTTATGGGATATTAGATATACATACGGATCGATTTGCTACTAGTAACCATTATTAGCAAGGTTAACTCACTATCTAACATACAATTGTGTACGCGGTTTCCAGTTCTACTCTAATTATGAGTGTTTGCACAACTACTCAATTATCCAAAATTACAATTTACTGCTTCAAAGAAGAAAGCTTTAATCACTGAACTTAAAAAAATATTCACTTGGCAACAAGTGATATTATATTATCTATTGTTCACTATTAATGGAATTCAATCATCTAATTCTAAGTCTATTGGATTGGAAGATTGAAGCAAACAATAGCAAACGAATTTAAGATCCACCCTATCGCACAAATAAATGGTGATTAGGACCCAATTGCTAAGTGAATAACGTGATTATGTTTGCAGCGGACGATACTGGGTTTGATTTCTAAAGTGACTATGGAATAAACATGAACCCTGGCATGAAGGCCTATCCATCTGACGAATCTCAAATAGGACGAAACGTGCGTCTTGGATTCCACTACTAGCCACCATCCATCTCTATTTACAATGCTTGTGAATTAAAAGAGTATCGAGACATTCTGCATAGGATGCACATATGCCAATAAGTGACTAATCAAATGAAATTCTAAACATCGATGGGAAGATTCGAACAAACAATGCAAAGTGAACTTACTTTTGTTCTTCGAGAAATTGTACTCAGTTGTAGAAATTTCAGAATATTAATATTTACTGAGAAGCATAAGAATTAGTTTCTTAATTGAATATTTCTATATGTAAATCGTGTAATCGCGTAATCGTGTAATAAATACATTTCATTTATAATTATCTTCTTATATACGTTTTTGAAAAAAAGGATTAGCCAATCAAATTCGTGTCATTATTTTGCTTCGATGTGATTGGTTAATTAATACATATATGGTGGTTCTCGAATAATACATACTGTTATCCATCCACTTATCTATTCGTCTTTCTGACCATATACATGTATAGACTTCATATTATAATTAGACGAAAAGATAACTCAACCTTATAGTTTCTTAGAAGAATTATTATTCTCTATGTTGATACAATTCTAGGAATAGCTCTGTAGGTAATTTTGCTACCGTTGAAAGAAAAGCTCAGTTGAAATTTTGTGTATATAGTGATAGTAGACTAAATTTTTGTAAAAACGTCTAGTTGACTATTTAGAAGACGGAAGGGACTTTTTTTCCTTTAGGGTATGAATAAGTTATCTAAACTTATTTGAAGTTTGTTGTCACATAATCTCAGATTTTTCTGTATAATATCGTTACTGTAAGACATAGTAGAAGAAATGTACAGGCTGTTAGATGTTTTAAGCAACTGGTTCCTTTCATGAATTCGAATAAAGTTAGGACAACAACTGAGACAGAATAATATGAATTCATTCTATTTGTGGTGGACCAAACAATATATGAACTTAAAAATATTAATAAAGCTATTGAGTACAAACAGTAATATTATAATATATCAATTAAACGTTATAAACACAATAAAAATTTATGGACGTTAATTAGGTCAGCTGGCTTGTGCGTGTTCAGATTGTGTTTGGTATCAGAATTCACAATTATAGATGATTAATGATCCCAATAAGATTGTTGTGCTTCCAGTGATATAGCTCAACCTCGAATATAACGTGACCGTGGCTACAGTCTATAAATGTAGACAGTAGATGGTTTAGAGTTCAATTATCGCAACTACGAGCACTAGAGAACAAGAGGTTTGTGTTTAGTAGTATATTTGCTAACAGTTAACAGCGTGTGTCATGCTATACGTGTAACACAACGGAAGAATGTGTGTTCATGATCATACACTTCAACAACATGTACAGTCATTTTGTGGTAAATGTACAGACTGTAAAAATTAACCAAATAAATGCAAGTAATATCAAAAACTATTTACAAAATAAGTTTGTCATGCCTATCTTCACATATTTTGTGGTTTCTTATCAGCTGCTTACAACCACGTACATATTAAAAGGTAAGAATGAGATATGATATGATGTGAACCGATTGACATTCATGACGGAGAGAACTACGATGAAAAGGATTATCAATAATAACTGTATATATATGGCTGTGTAAGAAGAGATGTCATGTAATTTGGAGATAGAATTCGAAAACATATGGGTTTAGGTGAGGTAGTAATCGAGTGCGGTCCACAAATATTTAAGATAGATTGTGTGTTAATTTTAGAGGTTGTGAAGTATTCACATAAGATTACTGAGATCAAAAATGGATAAAATGGGTTGTTCAATAATTCCTCCTCCATAATTCTGTTTCTGAACCTCATTTAATTACTGCTTCACCGAAACCCCTATATTTTTTAATTCTATTTCAAAATTACCGCACATCTGTTATTGCACAGAAATATATATACAGTTATTATTGATAATCCTTTTCATCGTAGTTCTCTCTGTTTGTTCGTTTACTGTTTGTTGATTACTGATATCTTCACAGTATTGTCCGCATAAATTGGAACAACCAAATGGGCAATGTTGATGTTAGGCATAGATTATGTATCAACGAAGGTGAATAGGTTAGTGAAGTTCGAAATTTTTATCGACTAAAGTGTCATGGACATTTATTATGTACGTTAGCCATTGCCTATCAAGGAGAGCAATGTCAACTGGTAAATTGTGAGAAGGTTAGTGAAGACCATACTAAGACGTGGTATTAGTCGATGTAGTCAATGATTGACTGTTGAACTGATCCGCCTTTATAGATGCATACTAATCTGTTAGGGTTATTTAGTTAGATAACCACAATCAGTAACTGAAGTTCTTAGGAAGTAAGATTCAGAATCGATCAAAATGTTGCACTCATTTTTAAGTTTTCTAACTATACTCTGTGTAATCAGTCTTCTCCATTACCCTTTATACTACATAATTTCGATTTTATTTACTACTTCATTTATTTACGTGGTAACGACAACTCGAACCAATGCATATTTGCACCGTGCTCTAAGTTAATGATGACTGACTGATGAAAATGAAGGTTTCAATTGGTTGAATTCAGCTTAAAATCTCTCTAGTTTAGTTAATTGATATTGAAGTAATGAAAAGATGAAATAACTTCAGCCAATATTTCTCTTATCGATTCAGTGTAAATTTCATTTAACATAACATGCGTGAACTTTCGTTCATTGAGACAATTATAGTTCTTGTATCAATTCAGGTGAACTAAATTCATTGTGTATGATTTTACAGTAACATGTGTGATGTATATGACACCATTAAGTGTCCAACAATCAGTATGGAAATGATTGTACTTCCCTTTAATTACGGTGTGGTTTCAGGATTTCTCTGGTGAAATAGATAGAGTGAATAAATCCACATTGCACCACCAGTTTTCCATGTTCTTACTTTATGTCTTGCCTTTTACATTAGTTTCAAATTATCAAGTAAAAACAGTTCGACTCCAGACTCCAACATAGTCGACACATACATAACAGCGACGAAACGTCACCAGAAACGACAGAGACGACTGTTCAGACATAGCAGCAGTTATACACTATATCAAATAACATTATCTTTTTAATGGTAATATATACTTGAGTTATGGGAGCTTAAAGATAATCCATTGATCAGTGAAGACAATCACATAGATTACCTATAAAAATTTAGTCGAGTATCAATTGCATACTGGCTTTAAACTGTCATTTCAGTAATGATAAATCCCTTTATGTTACATTTTCCTATACAAACAACTAACAAACAGTTATTCATCCTTGATATGATTCTCTACAAAATTTTGTATTGTTATTATTTATTCTTGAATTGCCATAAATCAAATGTGTATGCATCACGCGATTACTGAATGGTATGTTGGATCGTTTCTTCCTCTCTCTCTCGCCCACTCACTCAGTCGCATACCCATTAACTGGATGTTTGACTAAACCTAGTAGTAAACAGTCAACTGTTTTTGATACTTTTTATCTCTCACATTTGTTTTCTTCATGTCACGTAATCACATTTAAAAAGTATAGTTCAGTTGAATGAATTCAAGTACAATAATCGTTATCATAACACTATGGAAATGGAAATGCCTACAGTGGACTGTATAATCACATTTAATATTGACTACTTTGAAATTTTACTAATGACAGTTTAGTTTTTCTAATCTGATCGCCAAACCATATATATATCGTAGTGGATGCTACCCACAAGATTGTTTGCAAGTAGTGTGTATTGGAAGGTGACGTCAAAGTTACTACAGTTGTCAGTCAAAGTGCATTGAAAGCACGGCGTTGGCATGAAATGTGGAAACTAGACTAGAAGACGGTTCAGAATGAAGAACACACCAAATGATGTAAACGGAAGATTGAATGCTATGTATATTTAATATGTAATTACTACGTAATGTCTCACAATGAATACAAATTTCGCCTGCCTACTGACTTGTTTTACAACATATTTGGTATAGTTTGTGAAGAAATAATTAAATGATTTAGTCAGCTAGTTATATCTGTTGTTTCTAAAGAGTTAATTGTATGGTACTGTAAATATGTGTACACACGATAAATTATTTATTTATTGATGTTCAAATTATACAAATCTGACTGTATATCAATCATATAAGAACTGATGTGTTTATAGGTTGTTTTGATTTACTTCGAGGGTCAGATAAATTTATATTACCAGCCTTTATGTTCCCACTATATGTCATCGAATTCAGGGCTTTCAACACTAAGTATAAGTCAGTTACGCAATTAGAATAGGTTTAAATTATTCCGTTGTTGACATTCAGGACAGATGTCTGAATAGTATTTATTGATATATGTTCATTCTGAGCATTTTTTCTATGGTGGCACTTCAGGCAGAAGCAAAAAGAGGAGATTTAGGGTTGAAAGTTAATGTAGAAGGAATCAATACAGTGGTCTTAAATGCTGTTAGAAGTATGAGAGCGGTAATCACTTCCCGGTTGCCCACACCGTGAAAGGTTTTCTACTGGAGGCACCTGAAAAGTAAATGAGATTAGAAATGGTATAAGTGACCTGAGAGTGTGACCGCAGTGCCTAAGGGGCAACTGCTTGAGGTCAGTCACACACGACATTTTTGTGAGTAATTTTCGTGTTAGCTCCGTACTTGTTGAAACCTTAACGCCGGAGACGGATATCCGTCGAATAAGGCGAGATGTGCATTTTTAGGGTTGACCTTATCTAAACCCATCCTTTCTTGTAGGAAGGCAGCATCGCTTTTATGCTCATTGTCTGAAGGTAACATTTTACTACCATCACACCTCTTTACAGTAAGCAGTATGACTTCGCCCTCAGAACTTAGGTTAGCTGCTTTTAGTCTTGCCGCTCTTAAACTGACCTGTCTGGTATGATAGGAACTTGATGAACGATTGTTCCAGCCAGTATCGCTCGATTGGTTCATCACGATAGGCCAGCCCGACCACCACGTCAAGGTAGCAACAACGGTCGTAGCGTCAGTGCTTGAAGTCACTAACTTCTGGTCTGAGCCATGTTGGGAGATGTAGACTATTTGGTTGGGGTCCGCGTGACTATTGTAACCAATAGTTGGAGACTCTTGGTAACATGGCTGAGAATCGATCACAATGACGTAGGTGTATACACTCTTTGTCTTCCCTTATACTATGAGATTGAAATCGTTTCATATCTTTCTTTCTACGAGTTAATTCTTTCTTCCTGTAATATGTTCTTATATGCAGTCTTTCTTTTGTATATTACCGCTTCGAATTAACTAATTCTATGAATCCGTTGTTCATCTTACTGTGCTAATGAGGAATGGCAACTTGTACCGATGTATATATGTGC